GACCAGCTCCTCCAGGCGAATGCGCACTATACCCGCGACAATGTACGCCCCCGGAGGGGGAAGTGGCCCAGAGCCATGCAGTAGAGTATGGTGGTCACCTCCGCGAGCAGCCTCAGGAGAGCGGTGCCGCTGGATGAAGTTGGCGACGCGGTGCAGGTCGCTGCCCAGGCAGATTCCCAGGGGTGAGATCGGTTGCCGAGCGCAGAGTGGGGCAGCAGCGGGTGGAAGCAGAACTTGCACATGGAGAAATTGCTGTCGACGGAGACGCACGAGGCCCGGCTGCAGCGCATGGCATTCGCGAACATGGGCCACAACCATCGACAGGGCATGCGGCATCTTGCAGATACCGGTGGCCGAACGCAGCCGCGAAACCAGAACCGGCAACACAGCTCGATCGGGATCACCCGAGCATGCCATCGCGTGGGCATGTGGAACCGCGGGCCGCAGGCGCGGACGGCGCGGCGCTATAGGCCATGGGGCCCTGGGCGTGACAGCAGTGGTGATGATGTCTCGGCCACATCCGAGACCCCGAGGAAGGACGGACTTGAGCCAAACGGCGACAGAAGGAGGAGGAGGAGGAGGAGGAGGAGGAGGAGGAGGAGGAGGAGGAGGAGGAGGGGGGGGAGGAGGGAGGAGGAGGGAGGGAGGAGGAGGAGGAGGAGGGGAGGAGGAGGAAGAGGAGAGGAGGAGGGGGGAGGAGGAGGAAAAGGAGGAGGAGGAAGAGGAGGAGGAGGGGAGGGGAGGGGAGGGAGGAGAGGAGAGGAAGAGGAGAGGAGAGGAGAGGAGGAGAGGAGGAGAGAGAGGAGAGGAGAGGAGAGAGAGGAGAGTAGAAAGGGGAAAGGAGGGAGGAGGGTGGGCGAGCGATTGTCGTGCTGTACTTCCGGGAAGTGTCGTTACCTCGCGGGTGGGATGGGGCACAGGGGCCATCGGCAACGCTTGGGCGGGGCAGGGCACGTCGGGGCGGGGGGGCACGCTACGATCGCCAAAGTATGCGCGCGAGCACCAGCATGCGGGGGGCCAGCCCCCATCCTCCTCCTCCGCCTCCTCCTCCTCCTCCTCATCCTCCTCCTCCCTCCTCCTCCTCCTCCTCCGCCTCCTCCTCCTCCTCCTCCTCCTCCTCCTCCTCCTCCTCCTCCAGCTCCTTCTACTCCTCCTCCTCCTCCGCCTCCTCCTCCACCCCCCCTCCGCCTGCGTACGATCGTTGCTGCTACGGGGAGGGGAGAGGGGCGGGCAACGGCCGTCACCGCGCCAGAGGATAAAAAAGAGCAATCCCCGAGGAGGACCAAAGGACATGCAGGGGGGAACGAAGGTGAGGAGGAGGAGGTCGAGTGCGTACAGAGCGGAGGGCCAACGAGAGGGGGAGGATCAACAAGACGGAGATGGAGCGGGGAACGGGGATAGAGGGGGGGGGAACGGGGGAAGGTGGCAGGACGGGGCTCGGGAAGGCCAGGCAGGCAGAAGCCAGGAGGCACCGCAGCGGGCATCGCCCGTCGAATTTTCGCTCCGCTCCACGAGCGGCCAGCTCCTCCCCCCCCCCGCGCGCGGTCCGGCTGGACGGTGGCGACCGGAGGCCGCGCCCGCGGTGCCCCACAAGACGGACCTCTGCGCGGTGCGGGGCGGTGGGGCCGTGGCGCGCCTGCAGGCGTGGCCGTGCGGGCGGGAGCGCCCTGCCCGCTGCGGCCTCACCAGCCTCGAGAGTGGCCGTGCGCCGGCCCGCTCGCTGAGGCCGGCGCGCCTCTCGTCCCGGCGACCGCACGCGTGCCTGCGCCTGCGCAGCAGGCCCTGTCGAGGGCGACTCGGTTGCTGAGCGTCCCCGTAATTTGTCGGTTGGGGTACTTTGTTGGCTAACGGTGCCTGCGTGGCGCGTTGTCACGCACATCGTTTCGAATACCCGCGCAATTGAAATCCATGCGAGGAGGCCTCACAACAGGATTCAAGTTGTAAATCGCGAGCAAATCCCAGTCTACTGCAAAGCCGCACAAGATGCTTTTGTTTGTTAGGCGCACGCTAGGCATCAATATGTGTATCCACCAACTCAAAGAATCCTCGTGCGTAGTCGGACAAAACGATGTTACTTGTAATGCGCACCGTCATAATCAAATTGTCGCAATCCTACGAAATGATGTTGATTGCAACCCGGACAACCCGAACCAGTATATGATTCGCACACCGAAAGATCCCCTTTGAAAGGCAGCTGGAAAAACCTGGGGAGGGTCCCCCCTAGAAAACTGGAATGGACATTTGGCTTCCCATGCTCACTTATCATGGCGAGGGGGAGGGCAAACAAAAAACAAAAAGGACACCAAAGAACATGGTCCGTTGTTGTTTGCTTTGCGTGTTTGGTCTCCCTATCTTGTTTGTTTCGGGCCACTTTCAAAGGAACAAGTGTTGTGAGCCATGTGCACATGGATTATGCATGCGTAGCTTACAAATGAATTGTGTTGGGCTGTACAGTCGGATTTCGTTTGTGCTCGATTCCTTTCGTGGCCCATTCAAGCAAGAATGTCCTATTGTTCCGCTCACAAGTAGAAAAATTGCACGTGGCTTTACAATACAATTCATGTTGCTGTGAGCTTACACATTGAATCCACTTGTGACGAATTTGGAATCATGTTTTGTGGGACCTTGCAAGAACCATATTTGTTGAGCGCGCCGCAACTTAATTATACTTGAAGGGGTTGCAAAACAATTGTTTGCGCAATATTACAATTCGAATTCTTTAGCGCGGGATTCATATGTCTAATCCGAGTGTGCGTATTACGGGTAGCACGTGTCGATGCGAGTTGCCTCACGTTTGTCTCTTGGCGGTTTACACATTGACTCGGATTAAGTGGATTGCAAAAACCGATGCCTCTATACAGATACATCGGCAGATGGATGGATAGAACGATACATGGATATACATATATATAGATGGATGAGCAGCCAAACGCTGCTAGTTCAATACGCGATGAGTTGTATGATACATGGGAAGGTCGGTTCGTATATGTATGCATACATTATGTGTGTCTACACATTCAGACCAAAGTATTGTTACGTGGGTGGTATGTGGGTATGATATATGAATATATATGTATATATATGTGTGTGTATGGATACAAGTGTCCACACATCGATGCATGTAGAAACCATAGCTGCCAAAGCATCTTCATCGAAGTAGAATGCACGGCTGGGCTTCTATACTTATAAAATCACATTTGTACGCCAGCATCTCGATGTTCAACTATACGTAGGAACACCGCTACGCGGGAGCACACCTAAACATACACAACTATATACATATGTATGTATGTATGCACATACGGGGACAGGGGGGATTGGTACACATGTTTCGGTATATACAAGGGTACGCGCATGGGTATGTTGCGCATGGGTCGGTTGATAGTTGTGTAGGCGGATGGAGGAACACACGGGCAGCACAATAAACGGATCTGTGCATACTATATGCCGACTGAAAGATGGATGGGGGGAGCGATTAATCAAGAAGCAGATCGGTGGATGTAATGATGGATCGAGACCGATACCTACACGAATGGACGGACACAGACATAAATTGACAGAACGGCACGTATAGAATTATGGAAATGCAGATGTACATATGGATGCCTATACACATATCGGCTGATACACCTATTGTTGTTGTTAGGTCGGCAACCTGATGTGTACAGATGTATAGCACGTACATGCATATGTATATGTTGGTGCATGTATACATACATATATATATCGAGAACAAAACAACGAGACAGAGACACAGTAAGGACAAACAGCAAAGAGAGAGTGAGAGAGACAGAGAGAGCGAGAGAGAGAAATCAGACGCCCCCTTTCAATCTCATCCTCTGCCCCCCCACCATTTCCATCCACCCGTCTTGGGCGAACAGAGTGCGAGAGGGCAGCAATGACCCCGTCGCACTGCCCCCTGGCGATATGTGCTGGAGAGCAAGAGAGCAGCAACTGTTCCGTCCCATAGGAGAGCAGGCGCTTACGCCCCCCCCCGCTCGCTCTCGCTCACTCGCTCTCTCTCTCTCTCTCTCTCTCTATATATATATATACATATATGTAGTATGTGCGATTTCTCTCCCTCTCTCTCTCTCTCTGTCTTTCTCTCTGTCTCTCCCATTCTCCGCGCTCACAATAAAGAGAGCGAGCACGTAGCGGGAAGCGGCTGCTATCCCATGGTAGGGGAAGCGGGAGCTCTTTCACATTCCCACGCACAACGCCAAAGTAGGGGAAGTGGGAAGGGGTAGCGGTTGCTCTCTCGCGTTCTGTACGCCCAAAAGGAATGGGTAGAATAGCCAGGGCAATCGTTGCTGTTTTGGTTGTTTGTTGTTGTTGTTTCTCTAATGCTCTCTCTCTCTCTCTCTCCCCACCCCTTCTCATTCACACTTCCCACACGCGTGCAACACTGGATGGGCAATGGGAGAGAACATCGGCAACGGTTACCCTTGCACCCTCCACGCACGCGCTCCGAGGAAATGGTAAGAGGGAGAGATTGCTTGCTTGCTTGCTTGCTTTCTTGCCTGCTTGCTTGCCTGCTTGCTTGCCTGCTTGCTTGCTCTCTCTCTCTCTCTCTCTCTCTCTCTATATATAAATATATACTTCTATCACTCCACCCCTCGCACAACTGCGAATTATCAAACAAAATGCATCATTCGCAATAGAGAGACGAGAGACCGACACAGAGAAAGATGAGCAAGAGAAAAAAGGGGGGGGGGAGAATCCATCCAAAAAACAAGGGAACGCTCAGAAACCGAGTCGGCCTGACGAGGGCTACAGGCCTCGTGATCTCGGGTTCCAGGGCAGTGCCTCGAAAAACGGACACGAGCACCCTTGGCTGGCCCAGTCGAACCCAACTTCTCACTGTGCCGTGGTTGGTCGATCTGTCTACGGAGTGCTCCCACGCGCGCGGCCTGGCCCGAGGGGCCCGAGAAGTCCTCCCGCGAGCACGACGCCGCTGCCAGGACCTTGGCATGCCGCCCCCCGCCCCCTCTCGGAGCCGGTCACGACGCCGCCGCGTGCGCCACGAGCGTGGTGACCACGATGGCCAGGCCGAGCCACTCGCGGGCAGGCACCTTCTCTCCGACCACGTGGGCCGCCAGGACGGGGCTGCAGACGGTCTCGACGCAGATGGCAGGAGAAGAGACAAATCGGCACGAACACCAGTTGCCGGAGGTCAGAGCAGCTTTCTTGGGACCCCGCGGAACGCGCCCAGGGCGGCGCCAGGGGGATGTGGCGCAGACCAAACAAAACCGCACAGACCTTCGAAACATGCTGATTGTGCCAGTGTTTCTTCGTCGAGATGAGCATCCCAGACTCCGCGCTCGGCAGCAGCTGCGATCCCGCCGTTGTCAGCGTCATCCCCATGGGCACCACTACGAGGCCCAGGAGCAGCAACGGCACCAGGTCCTCCCGGCCCACCTCCCAGGCGGCGACCCCTTCGGCGGCGTCCCGCGCAAGAAGTGCCAGGGACAGGAGCAGCGGCCCCAGGGCAACCGCGGGCTGCATGTTTAGAAGAAGAAAAAAACGCATGATACCAGAGAAAAACCCAAACATATGTTTAAAATATTCCATTTGCTCCCTTTATAATCGGGCTATATGGCGGGCTATAGGGTTATAGCGCTATAGGGCTATAGGGCCATCGGGCTATAGGGCTATAGGGCTATCGGGCTATAGGACTATCGGGCTACCGGGCTACAGGGCTCTAGGGCTATAGGACTGTGACCTATAGGGCTATAGGGCTATAGGGCTATGGGGCTATAGAGCTATATGGGCTATGGGGCTATAGGGCTATAGGGATATAAGGCTATTAGGGCTATAGGGATATAAGGCTATAGGGCTACAGGGCTATAGGGCTATAGGGCTATAGGGCTATAGGGCCATAAGGCTAATGGGCTATTGGGCTATTGGGCACCCCCGGACACCAGGCATCCCTGGGCACCCGGGCACCCGGGCCCGGCCACCGAAATCGGCCACGCACCTCACCGGCCACCCGGGCACCCGGGCACCGCTGGGCACCCGGGCACCCGGGCCCGGCCACCGAAATCGGCCGCACCTCTCACCTAATCCTTTAATCCGCTAGGACCCCTACAGAGGCAAGCTCTGATTGGGGAATAAACATAAACCTTTGGCGCTCCGCGCGGATTTCTTGGATCCGCGCTGGACCCCCCTCTCTGGCGCGCGGAGCGCGCCAGGGGCGGCGCCGGAGGCGCCGCCGGGGGGGCCCGCGCGGATCCAAGACATCCGCGCGGAGCGCCAAAAGTTTCTGTTTGTGTGTTTTTGTTTTTCTTCTGCGAATGTTCACATCCGCCTTGTGGCGCAAGATGGTCCTGCGCACGGCGCTCGCGACGGCGATGCCCAGGGCCAGGAGGTCCCCAGGCCCGAGGGAGGCGCGCAGCCCGCCGCTGACGCTCACGGCCACCCCTGCGAAGACCACGGGCATGGCGGCCCAGGTGCACGGCCTCACCGGGGTGCCCAGCAGCGCGCGCCCCAGCAGGGCGGCCCAGAAGGACGTGGTCGCCATGAGCAGCAGGGTGTTCGCCACCGTGGTCGCCTTCACCGCCTCCACGAAGAGCCACTGGCTGAGGCCCGCCAGGACGGTCACCGACGCGCCCCAGCGGCCCATGCCGTGCACGGCCGCCGGCAGCGCGCGCCCCAGCTGCGCCAGCTGCCACGCCAGCAGCGCGCACCCCGCGAGGGACATCCGCCACAGGGCGGCGGTGTCCGCGGGCGCCCGGACCACCGGGCGCGCCGAAGAGGCGAGCCCCGGGAGGAGGGGGGGCTCGCGCATCGTGACCCGAGGCATCTGCGCGGACAAGAGGGGGAGGACCAGGGAACGCATGGAAAGAAGAGAAGGGGCCATACCTGATGGCCCCTTCTCTTCCTCCTCCTCCTCCTCCTCCTCCTTCTCCTCCTCCGCCTCCTCCTCCTCCGCCTCCTCCTCCTACGCCTCCTCCTCCTCCTCCGTCTCCTTCTCCTCCTCCTCCTCCTCCTCCTCCTCCTCCTCCTCCCAAGCGTATGGCCCATAGGGGCCCATAAGCCTGGGAGATCTGATCTGATGAACCCCCCCTTATCCAAACACCCCTCTTCGACGTCTGCAAGCTTTCGGGTCATAGCTCGAGCCTCCGCTGGCCGCTCGGGACTACCTGGGCACCCCCAGAGAGCCCTGTGGGCGAGGCGCGGCTGCCAAGCACTCCGAGGCGAGAGAAGCACCGAGAGCCAGCCAAAGCGCCCTCTCAGAGAATCTGCAGATGTCCTCGCACACACACACACACACACCACACACACACACACGCATGCATGCACGCACGCACGCACGCACGCACGCGCACGCGCACGCGCACGCGCACGCACGCACACGCACACGCACACGCACACGCACACACGCACACACGCACACACGCACACACACACACACACTTTTCGTCGGCGACGAGGCAGAGGCAATCCGCACCAGCGTGGGGCTAATACACACACAAACACGCACATGGCTACTCACCATCTTGGACGCCCCCGAGACCAGCTTGACGAGCGTGCCGTCTGGGATGTACGCTACCAGGCCTGCCGTCATCAGCAGGAGGCCGCGCCGGTGCGCCCTGGAAGACTCGGAGCCCGCTGGCTTCGACACGGCGGCGTCAACGGCCGCGGAGTCGACCAGGGGCGCCGCCAGGGCCGTCGGGCCCACTGCCGCCGCCATACGGAGCAGGGGCTCTCTGGAAGCAAGGGTGCAGTCAACGCTTTGCCGCAAGGGAATCTAGTCTGGGCCCCGTCTAGGCCTCGGCTGCGCCCAGCTGCACGGGGACCGGGGAGCGCCACAGACGAACCCGTGGAAGGGCACAAGCGACATGGAGCCCCGTCCGAAACCAAAGAGGGCCTCATCCCAAAGTGTTGACTGCAGTCGGACGGAGATGGGGGGGGCGGCTTCGGCCAAAATGGCTACGGAGGGGCAGGGAGTAAACAAAAGGATGAGGAAGGGGGGGAAACGCAAACCTCTGACAACTCCTTTGTGGAGCCGCCGCCCCCCCAGATCGGGAGCGCGCAAACATGGATTAGCGATCTATGGATTTGTGGCGCGCGGTCGCCAAATCCATGGATCGGGGGAGGTGCCCTCCCCAACATGCGGCCGTTGCCGACTCGCTCGGCGGCGGACATCTGTGACCTCCCAGGGAAACGGGACCCGTCGCTGGTCCACGCCACCTTGATCCATGTTTGCGATCGCCTGACCAGATTTAGGTCGGGCGTGTCCTCCTACAGGCGAATACTTGCACGGAAGATCCAGAAAAGTCCCAAAATCATCAAAACCCTCTGAAAAATACCCAACAAATCCTCCCCTGATGATTTGTCGATTATGTTGAATGTTCCTCCTGCAGAGGGACACGCCCGACCTAAGACCAGATCCCTCGACCCGTTCTCCGGGGCCGGCGGTGGATCCCGAGGCGACGTTCGTCGAGGGCCCCCTCCCCCGCGCGGCCCAGAGGAGCGCCCTCGAGGCGCGCCGAGCGTGGCGGCAGAAAGGCCCGCGGCGGCGAGGGGCCCCCCACGGAGGCCCAGGCAGGGCGACCTCGACGTCGATCCTCGCTCCTCCCTCCTGCGACCTCGATCCTCGATCCTCCTCCTCCCCCCTACGACACCGATCCCCCTCCCTCCTACGACGTCGATCTCTCGACCCGTGCTCCGGGGCTGGCGGTGCGGCGGATCCCGAGGCGACGTTCGTCGAGGGCCCCCTCCCCCGCGCGGCCCAGAGGAGCGCCCTCGAGGCGCGCCGAGCGTGGCGGCAGAAAGGCCCGCGGCGGCGAGGGGCCCCCCACGTGGGGCCCAGGCAGGGCGACCTCGACGTCGATCCTCGCTCCTCCCTCCTGCGACCTCGATCCTCGATCCTCCTCCTGCCCCCTACACCCTGCGAAATGCTTAAGAAATCATGGGTTAAGAATTTCATAGTCTCAGAATTTGAAGAAAAACCCAGAATTTCTATTTAAATCTTGGGATTTACATTGAAACGTTAAGAATAATCGAGACTCTGGCCGAAAACTTAGGTTTTCTTAAGCATCGCCTAAGGTGTACGACACCGATCCCCCTCCCTCCTACGACATCGATCTCTCGACCCGTGCTCCGGGGCTGGCGGTGCGGTGGATCCCGAGGCGACGCTCGTCGAGGGCACCCCCGCGGCCCGGAGAAGCACCCTCGGGGCGCGCCGAGCTCGGCAGCAGGAAGGCCCGCGGCGGCGAGGAGCTCCCCACAGGGGGCCCAGGCGGGGTGACATCGACGTCGATCCTCGCTCCTCCCTCCTGCGACCTCGATCCTCGATCCTCCTCCTGCCCCCTACACCCTGCGAAATGCTTAAGAAATCATGGGTTAAGAACTTCATTGTCTCAGAATTTGAAGAAAAACCCAGACTTCCTATTCAAATCTTGGGATTTGCATTGAAACGTTAAGAATAATCGAGACTCTGGCCGAAAACTTAGGTTTTCTGAAGCATCGCCTAAGGTGTACGACACCGATCCCCCTCCCTCCTACGACATCGATCTCTCGACCCGTGCTCCGGGGCTGGCGGTGCGGCGGATCCCGAGGCGACGCTTGTCGAGGGCACCCCCGCGGCCCGGAGAAGCACCCTCGGGGCGCGCCGAGCTCGGCAGCAGGAAGGCCCGCGGCGGCGAGCCCCCCACAGGGGGCCCAGGCGGGGTGACATCGTCGTCGATCCAGGATCCTCGATCCTCGATCCTACCCAATCCTCGATCCTCGATCCTCAATCCTACCCGACACGGAAAAACCTGCGACATCGATCCTTGGGACATCGATCCTCGATCCTCGATCCTACCCAGCATAGAAATACCGGCGACATCGATCCTCGATCCTCCCTCCTCCGACCGACATCTGCTCAAGACCAGCCTCTGGGGCCCTCCTGCAGAACACCCGGTCGATTTTTTCAACCTCCCCTATCGATACTCAAGAAGCCCCAGGGCCCGAGACGTGCCCCAAGAGGCCGAGGGTAACCCCAACCCGAGCCCTCGAACCTCGGGGAGGAGGGGGGGCAGAGGCCGAGAATAACGAACAAAGTCCTACGCCATCGAGCCTCGGGCCCTGTCGGGAGGGGGCTCCCCACCGCCCAGGCCCGCGTCCTCCCCCCTTGTCGCTGAGCCGCAGAACGTGTGTGTATAGCCCCAGCGTGTGTTTGTCCATCGAGGCCCCTCGACACGACGCGGGCGATGCAATGATCTGCTGGTTGGGCTGAAGGGGGTAACACACACACACACACACACACACACACACACATTGGGCTACCACGCGTCCTGAGGATCACCTACCCTTCCCCTCCGCCCCGCCCTCCCCATGCTTGCTCACGGCAACCCCCCTTGGGTGTCAGAACAACCGAGGCCACATCAGCACTGCGGCGCTGCTAAGCCCCCTTCTCCCCTTCGTCCTCATGTTCCTCCTTCTCCTCCTCCACTTTCTCCTCCTCCTCCTCCTCCTCCTCCTCCTCCTCCTCCTCCTCTTTGCCCTCGTCCTCCTCCTCCTCCTCCTCCTCCTCCTCCTCCTCCTCCTCCTTTTGCCCTCCTCTCCATCTCCTCCTCCTCCTCCTCCTCCTCCTCACTCCTCCTCCTCCTCCATCCTCATTCCCTCTCCTCGCCTCCCATCCCGCCCCCCTCCCCGTCCCCGTCCTCGTCTTCCGACTCTTCATCCTCCCCCTCCGCATCCGTAGCCATTTTCGGCCCAAGGTGCAGGCGCCAGGGCCTGCGCTGGAAACACGGCCGTTCCTGTCGGACTCTCTCGTTTGTGCTGCGATGTCTGCCTCCGCTCTCATCGCAGACCTCACCGGCGATGCGGATGCCGAAGGGCTCACGGTCGCAGCGCGCTCCGTTAGGCGGGCCAGGCGCCTCTCGCGCTCCACTTACTGGGCCATGGAGCGGTTGGACATCGCGTTCCACGTCAACACCCACATCACCACGGCGAAATCTACCGAGTTCGTGAGGCAGCTGCGTGGTGACCTCACAGGTGCGACCGCTGGCACGACGGCGACCGAGCAGTCGGACGGCGTCGGCACGCCGATCCTGCAAGAGGAGAAGCTGCAGGACAAGTCCGAGTACGACACGCCGTTGGAGACATGTCTGGCTCCTCCCTGCGCGGCGACATGCCCGACCGAGGTGTGCCGGTTCACTTCCAGGGCTCGGCGGTCGCCAAGTGCGAGCAGCACATGCGCATGATCGAGGGCCTCTCCGCACGCCAGGAGGCCATGGAGGCCGGGGTCGCCGCCGCCCTGAACACTGGCAGCCGCGGCACCTCGAGACGCTTCGATCGCCTCCTCCCGCCTCGCCGTGGCTCGCTCGAGCGACCGCGAGGCGAAGCGCGCGTGGACCGGGGCCGGGATCGACGGCCCGAGCCCGAGCCTGGGCGAAGGTGCCGACGGGGAGGGGCTCCTCACGGTCACCGCAACACCGGCGCAGGCTGCGGGCGGCGCCGCGGGCCTCGACGCACCTCCGCCGCAGGTCGAGGCGCCGGCGCCCGACGCGAATGCCACCGCGGGCCAGGTGCGGGAGGGCTTCGGCAGCCCCGCCCCGCGCGAGCAGGTCGAGGAGGCGGTGCTCGAGTACATCGCCGCATTTGCTCGGCGCCCCGCCCCGCTGGAGGTAAAGCTGCAGGAGACGCTCGGGCACGGCTCGGAGGAGAATATCGAGAAGTACTTCGCGTGTGCGCCGAAAGAGCGGCTCTACTCGGGCTACGGCGACCAGGAGATGATCGGGAAGGCGGCGCTGGACAAGCAGATCGAGCTTGAGAGCATCGGCAACCCCATCACGATGAGGACGTACCCAGGCGCGGGTGGTGGCGGCCTGCTGCTCCCGCCTGTGCCCTTCTTCCCGAGCCTCGGGAAGAGCGACACTGAGGTTATGACCATGAGCGGGGTCAAGGTCAAGGAGTCTTCCGAGCTGACGCATAAAGCAGAGGCCTCCACGAGTCTCGGCCTGTCAACGGTTCTCATAGTCAGGAGTCTAAGTCGATGCGTTTGGGGGGTTGACAAGGCGGCCGTATGAAACCACCCCCTGGCCCTCGTTGTGTCCCCCTCCCCCTCTTCCCCCTCCTCCTTTCCCCTTCCTCCTCTCCCCCCTCCTCCCCGTCCTTCTCCTGGAGGGGCGCGGGGGCCAGGGTTCGGTTTGGCGGCCGCACTGTTGATCCCCCGGTGGCTGAGCGGCCGCGTCAGGGGCAACGTATCCCCCAAGGGGTACGGCTAACCCACGCCCTCCCCAGGAGGGCGCCCCCTAACGGGTAATGCTCGGGGAGGGGACTTGTGCTGTATGTTCGGGCGCTGGCGGATAGTGCCACATTGTGATCGTCCCTTCTCCTGGTCTTATTGTGAGTGCGGGGGCGGGACTGCTCAAACCTCCCCGGATTCCATGCCAGAGAGGGCGGTTGGGGCTACGGCTCTTTACCTCTCGGCCCCATCCGGGGGGCAGGCCGGGGGTGCCCATGGTCCAGGCGACCTGGCTTATTCTGTCTAAGTGTTCGTGTGCTTCCGATGTGGTGCCCGTAGTGGACCCTAAGTAGCCGGTTGAGGCAGTTCGGTGAATCAGGTGCGATCTTCGACGTGCGCACTGGAAACCCAACAACGAAGCACCCAGCATATGATTTTGTGAGTTAATGTGTGGTTGCGTGTCTCAATAGATTAGTATGGCCCCTGCGCATCGACGACACGCAAAGAAGTGAGTTGGGGCACAACGGTGTCGCGGCCTGCGCTAGTCCCGCGTCCACCCTCCTTGGTTCCAGCGTTACGGACAGCCTGGCTTGGGCGTTCGTTTTGCCGCGCTTCCGGGCCGATGGCCCCAGCGCCGATGGCCTTCTTCAAGGACCATCTGGGGGGAGCAAACTCACTGCGCCCGGCGCCGGATTCCTCTGGTTGCCTGCTCCCCCCAAACCCCTTCGCGGCGGGGGTTGTTGCTGGAACGCAGAGGGGGGTGGGGCAGCGGGCTGGCCTGGTCGCGGGGGGGGGGGCGGAAGTGGAGTAGCATATACCCTACATAACAGATGTTTGGTTGTCTTTCTGTGGTGGGTTTCTGTGTTTTTGCCGTTGTTTGGGGTATCGATCGGGTGTGTGACTCTCCGCTTCTTCCACTCCCACCGGGGGCCATCATTCTCTGTTTTTCGTGTGGGGTCCAATGCGCCGTCTCGGGAGGTTTTTCCCTGCCAGCCAGGGGGCCGTTCGCGGCCGTCAACCCGGAGGACGAGGACGAGGACGAGGAGTCTTCCGAGGGCGAGCTCGAGGACCAGTTGCCGCCCGACGCTTTCGACGAGCTTCGTGCACTCCTCGAGGCGGCGTCGGCGGAGTTGGCGCCGGCCCCCTGGTATTCTCATGTGCTTTCGGCTCCGAGCGAAGGCTTGGAGCCCGCCGCGGCTTGGTCCTAGGGGGGGCCTCGCTGGCCTGTTCGGAGCCGCGGTCGGCCCCCGCGGCCTCTTGGGGCTTCCGGGCCCTGGGCTGCGCTGGGCCTCCTGGGGTCCTGGGGGCGCTCGCTCTCCGCGGGGCGCCCTGGCTCGCCTCCGGGCTCTCGGGCTCTCTGGGGTCGGGCCGTCCCCACGGGGGTGGGGCAGGGAGGAGGAGGAGGGAGGAGGAGGAGGAGGAGGAGGAGGAGGAGGAGGAGGAGGAGGAGGAGGAGGCCCTCCGAGGTCCCCTTCCTGGGGTCTCGGCTGGCTCACGCTCCCGTCGTGTGCCCTTCTTGGGGCGGGGGACGTGCCGCGCCGTGCACGGCTGCGCGAGTCGCCGCTTCTGGAGGCACTCTGGCTCGCTCGGGCCGGGCCCCTCGCGCAGGGGGGGGGGGGAAGAACCTCCTCCGCCGCATCATCCGCCTCCTCCTTCACCTCCTTGACCCCATCTTCCTCCTGCGCCTGGTCCTCGTCTCCCTCCACGTCCCCCTCCTCGTCCCCCTCCTTTTACTCCTGCCTCCTCCTCCTCCTCCTCCTCCTCCTCAACCTCCTCCTCCTCCACCTCCTCCTCCTCCTCCTCCTCCTCCTCCTCCGCCCACTCATCCTCCGCCTCCTCCTGCCATCCTCCCCCCTCATTCGATGCCTCCATTCCATTCCTTAATAGGACAGCTCCCTGCCGCACCCCGAGGCAGGTTCTTAGGGCGGGCTAGGCGTCTCGCCTGAGACTTCCTCACCACGTATGACCCTGAAGCTGAACAAGTGGCAACAGCTTCACAGATGGAGGGCGGCCCGTTTTCAAAAAGTGTCTCGCGCCTGAACGCCGCGCACCTTCGTTCTAAACGTGTGCAGGAGTTTCACGGATTGAGGGCGGATCCTTTTCAAAATTCGCCGGCCCAACGGGCCAGAGGCGTGCTAAGATCTCCGGTAACTGCTAAATAATACTTCTACTTCGCGCGCGCGGGGCGGTCCCGGGGGGTCCCTGGACGAAAAGTACCCCGGGCGATCCCCGGCAGGGTCGGGTCAGAGATGGTTTTCCTCCTGGGCGCCGCCCCCGTGGCCCTCCAGAGAGCCCCAAGAAGGGCCACGAGGCCGCCAAGAGCCCTCCAAGATGGTTCAAGAGTGCTCCGAGATGCCACACGATCGTTCCAAGACGCCCAAGATGGCCCCCAGACGCCCCAAGAGGCCTCCAAGAGCACTCCCCAGAGGGCCCCAAGAGGCAAATTCATTACTTTTCCTTAGGTTTTGGGCAGATTTTGGCGTGTCCATCTTTTCGGCTTCCCGACGCCCCAAGACGGCCCAAGAGGCCCCCAAGATCGCCCCAAGAGGGCCCAAGAAGGCTCCCAAGAAGGCCCCAAGATGGCCCAAGAGGGCTCCAAGACGGCCCCAGAGGCATCCAAGACGGCCCAAGAGGGGCCCAAGAGGGCCCCAAGCGATGCCCCAAAGGGGGAACACAAAACAAAACTTCGAGCCCTCGGCCTTAAGAAGCCCCCAGGAGGCCTCAAGAGGCCCCTGAGACCCCCAAAAGCCCCCAAGAGGCCCTCAGGAGGCCCCCAAGCGACGCTGAAGAGGCCCCCCAGCGGCCCCAAGAGGCTCAGTCATGCGAAATGGGCCGGCGGAATGAGCGAAGCGATTCAATATGGCTCTCGCCGTAGCGCGGCGCACAGTCGTCGCAAAAGCTTGCAACAATTCAAAGACTGGGCATTTGTGGTTTTCAAAATGGAACTTTCGCCTCGAGGCCACGCACACTCATCCGCGCAGCGTGAATCAATTACACGAACTGAGTACAGGTCGTGTTTACCATGGTGCTCTCGCCTTAGCGCCGCGCACATTCGTCTTAAAAGCTTGCAGCAGTTACACGAATGGCGATCGGTTCCTTGTCAAACAAATGGGCTCGCGCTCGAGTCTTCGTTCTGGGAGAACAGAAACTTCAACACATAGATGTACTGTCAACGCGTATCCGAAGGATGCGCGTTGAGGATGCAAGCCCCTTGGACGCCCAGGTTGAAGTGTTTTGAGCTAAAGATTGCCCAAGGATGAGCCGAACAGGCAAGGGAACAAGGGTGCCCTTCGGAACGTCACCCAACCTTACCATTCGCGTTGAATGTATGTGTAGCATCTGCCCGGATGAGGACGGTCCCTTTGAAAAGGGAGTTCTCGCTAGAGCCGTCCTCCAACCCGATGTCCAGACGTACAAACCTGAGTGACACATACACCTGTTGGGCCGTATAAAAAGATCCGCCTAACCACAAGGAGCCAATCTTTCAAAGGGGCGCTTCTTGCCGTGGCAAGGAAGGGCTGCAGGGCAATGTGAAGGGACTTGGGACGGGAGGGCGTACTCCAGCATCGATGATGCATCTTGGGGTTACCTAGTATGGTCCTCCTCCTCACACTTGTCATGCCTCTCTCCCACATCGCTTCCTCCTCCTCCCCGCCTCCTCTTCCTCATCCTCTCCTCCTGCCCCTCCCTCGACACGCCCGGAACGGGTACACAGAACTGGGCACGATGCCCAACAGCAGGCGCTGCCAAAAACTGGCGGCGGCCGCTGTTGGGCGAGCGACCCCGTGCCCCGAGAGCACACCTGTCGCGGTCACGCCGGCAGCGGTTCCTGCTCACAGCGATCAGGGCCTGCTGTCGGCCATCGTCCCCACTCGGTGAACGCAGCTACTAAATGCCCTGCATACGCTGTTCCGTCGACGGCGAGGCGGAGGCAGTCCGCTCCAGCGTGTGGCTATTCGGGGCCACCGAGAGGCGAATTGTCTGGCGTGCAAGAAAGAGGAAAAAGACGAGGGCGGCCGAGAACTGCACGAGCATACGTCCTCGGAGGTCTGCGCGGAGCTCTCAGATCGGCGCTGCCTCCCCCGCCTGGCGCCGGGCGAGCCGGCTATCCCCGCCGCAGGGGGCCCCGCCTCCGGGAGCGCGCCGGCCACCGTGTCCGCCACCTCGCGCGCGCCCTCCGCGACCTCGCGGGCCCCCTCCGCGGCGCTCCTCGGGAAGGAGGGGGGGGGGGGCGTTGAGACGTTGAGACAGTGCGACACGGAGAGTCGAGGAGCCTCGGGATGGGGGGAGGGAGGGAAGCAGGGGAGGAGGGAGGCAGGGAGGGAGGCAGGGAGGGAGGAAGGGAGGGCACGAGGGGGAGAGGAGGGGGGCGAGAGATACGAGGGGGGAGGGATACGAGGAGGAGGAGGAGGAGGATGAGGAGGAGGAAGACGAAGAGGGGGACGAGGCGGAGGGGGACGAGGGGGGCGAGGTGAACGGAGGAGGGGGAGGGGGAAGAAGGGAAAGGGAGAGGGAGGAGGGGGGGAGGGATGACGAAAAAGAAGAGGGGCACAGTAAGAGGTCAGGACAGAACGAACGAGCGAACGCCGAAAACGCGCACGCTCCGATGGAGAGGCAATGAGGAAAACAAGGAGGGCGGGATGGGGACGAAGAAGAAAAAGAAGATGCCGAGGAGGGAGGTGTAGGAGGAGGAGAATCAGAGCGGAAGGACAAGGATGTGGAGAGGAGTGACAGGAGGACGACGGCGAGGAGGAGGAGGAAAAGGAAGGGCGTAGAAGACAC